GTCCCAGGTTCGATTCCGGTCAAGGGCATGTACCTGGGTTGCGGGCACATCCCCAGTGGGAGATGTGCAGGAGGCAGCTGATCGATGTTTCTCTCTCACGGATGTTACTATCTCTCTCCCTTCCTCTCTGTAAAAAATTAATAAAATATTTTTAAAAAAAAAAATAACAGACATTTATTCTCTCACAGTCCTGGAGGCCAGAAGTCCCAAACCCAGGAGTTGGCAGGGCCACAGTCGGTCCGAAGGCCCTATGGGCCTCCTCGCATCTCCCAGCTTCTGGTGACTCCTGGCATCCCTTGGCTTGTGGCCGCATCACCCAGACCGTCCTCACTTCACTGGCTCTGTCTCCAATCCCCTCTACCTTTCTCTCAGGAGGACCCTTGTGACTGGATTCAGGGTCTACCTGGATCAGTGGTCGGCGGCAAACTCATTAGTCCACAGAGCCAAATATCAACAGGACAACGATTGAAATTTCTTTTGAGAGCCAAATTTTTTAAACTTAAACTATATAGGTAGGTACATTGTTATTAACTTAATTAGGGTCCTCCTAAGGCTTAGGAAGAGCCACACTCAAGGGGCCAAAGAGCTGCATGTGGCTTGCGAGCCGCAGTTTGCCGACCACGGACCTGGGTAATGTAGGATGATCTCATCTCAAGGTCATTAACTTAATTACAGCTGCAAAGACCCTTTGCCAAATAAGGTCCATTCACAGGTTACAGGTAGACGTATCTTTTGGGGGGAGGGGGTTTGCCCATTCAACCCACTGCAGCCCATTCAAGTCACTTCCCTCTCTGAGCCTCAGTGTCCTGTCTGGATAATGGGGCTAATACTAGCCCCACCGCGTCGGGCAGCTTTAAGGGTTGAAATGAAGCCTCCGTCCGAGTGCGTGGCCCAGCCCCGGGATCTGGGAAACTCGGACAGGGCGGCTGCCGTTTTTTCTGGCAGAGAAACATCTCCTTAGAGCTGGGCACTTCCGTGGGGCTCTTTCTGCCACTTCCCCCGCTTCTCTGCACATCTGTCTCCGTCATGTTCTCTCCATCCTTCTTTCCCCCGTTTTCCTTCCCTGCTCCGCCCCTTGCTAAGTGTAACCGGGCAAGTCACCGATGACTTGGTTTCCTCATCTGTAAAATGGGCAGCTGTGCAGACTGCAGGGGTGGCTCATGGCAATGCTCAGTCTTGCCTGGCAGGCAGTAGGCGCTCGCTGTTCTTATGGTCATTGTTATCACTGTGGTTTCCTGGTCTCGCCTCTTTTCCCCGTCTCCACAGCGCCCTCTGTCTCTCGGACTTATTTCTGCGTTTCTGAGTACCTGTCTCACCAACCTCCGGGTCTTGAATGGACTGTCCCTGCCCATGGCTCTGTCTCTCTTCCTCTCCCCACCTGTGAGGGTCTCTAAAGAAGCCCACACAGCCGAAACCGGTTTGGCTCAGTGGATAGAGCGTCGGCCTGCGGACTGAAAGGTCCCAGGTTCGATTCCGGTCAAGGGCATGTACCTGGGTTGCGGGCACATCCCCAGTAGGAGATGTGCAGGAGGCAGCTAATCGATGTTTCTCTCTCATCGATGTTTCTAACTCTCTATCTCTCTCCCTTTCTCTCTGTAAAAAAATCAATAAAATATATATATAAAAAAGAAGCCCACATAGACCTAGTTGGTTTGGCTCAGTGGATAGAGCAGTGCTTCTCAACCTTCCTAATACCGCGACCCTTTAATACAGTTCCTCATGTTGTGGTGACCCCCAATTTCATTGTTACAAATTGAACATAACTAAAGCATAGTGATTCATCACAAAAACAATATGTGATTATATGTGTGTTTTCCGATGGTCTTAGGCGACCCCTGTGAAAGGGTCGTTCGATCCCCAAAGGGGTCGCGACCCACAGGTTGAGAACCGCTGGGACAGAGCATCAGCCTGCAGACTGAAGGGTCCCAGGTTCAATTCCGACCAAGGGCACATGCCCGGGTTGTGGGCTCCATCCCCACTGGGGGCTGTGCAGGAGGCAGCCGATCAATGATTCTCTCTCATCATTGATGTTTCTACCTCTCTCTCCCTCTTGCTTCCTCTCTGAAATCAATAAAATAAATATATTTTTAAAAAAGAAGCCCACGCATTTTTAGACTCTTCCCTTCCAGAGGAGTCTACTCTCTTCCCTTCTGAGTGTGGGCGGGACTCAGTGACTCGTTTCCCATGAAGGAGACTTTTTAAAAAAAAAACACATATTTTTATTGGTTTCAGAGAGGAAGGGAGAGGGAGAGAAGCATCAATGATGAGAGAGGATCATTGATGGGCTGCCTCCTGCACACCCCCTACTGGGGATGGAGCCTGTAACCCCGGGCATGTGCACTGACCGGAATCAAACCATCAAACCATGACCTCCTGGTTTATAGGTCGATGCTCAACCACCGAGCCAGCCAGCTGGGCTGTGTGTGACTTTGGAAATTAGGTCACACAAAACATCTCTCCCCCCACCCCCACCCCCCATGGCTCACCCTGGGGGAGCTGGCAGCCCTGTGGTGAGGACACTCAAGCAGCCCTATAGAAAGACCCAGGTGAGGAGCTGAGGCCTGGGGCCCAGGCCGTGTGGACGAGCTTGGACGTGGACCTTCCAGCTCCAGTCAGGCCTTCAGGCGCCTGCAGCCCCAGCCCACAGCCCAACTGCACTCTCCAGAAAGGTCCTGGCCAGGACCACCCGGCAAGACTGCTCCGGGGTTCCCACCCCTCGGGAACTGTTAGACCACGAATGTTTGCTGCTTTAAGCCAGCAGATTTGGGGGGGGTGATCTGTTATGTGACCATGGATGACTAATATACACCTTTCTTTCTGGTGTTTTCTCTGTCTCACTCTTTCTGGGTGTCTCTGCCTCCTCCACCTCTGGGTCCTAACCGTCCATTTCTTTTTTATTTTTATTTTTTTAACGTCCATTTCCAATTCTCCATCTCTGATGCCTCCTTCTGCTCCCTTGAGGCCGTTGGTCCGTCTCCAGGCCTCGCTCCCTCTCTCTGGGTCTCAGCCTCCGCCTCCCGGTCCTCCCTGTTGA